TTGAGCAGGGGTCTGTCAGAGAACAGGAGACTGAATATTTAGGCAGTTGTATTCTGACTTGCTACTGCAGTGCTGTGAACCGCATAGAATACAAGAGGAGGATGACTATTGATATGTTAGGTAGAATAATTTATGGCTTTTAATAGCTCATTAAAACTGGAACAAGAAGAACAGTCTAACAGCAAGAATGACACCATTATATACCCATGCACAGAATCCACGGAGCATGGTTGAAATGGTACCATCTGAGTATTATATTCCGTAACATCAGACACGAAACTGTAAAATGGAAGTAAATTAAACACGCACCACTGTATTCAGAGCTTGAATAGACACCAGCCTTTTTTTCCAGGACTGCAAATGATGCCTTGCAAAGCATCTTTTTTCATCTATTTCTCCTGTTATAGGATCATTTAGTTCTGCAATTAAGATGAAGATTGAGTTTGTCCCTGTGCTTATAAGTCTTTCATTTGAGGAAATAATAAAAAACCTCTTGGTTCTCTTTCACATCTATCAATTTCAATCTTTAAGAAGATGAACATTCATGTACGTCATTTTACAAGAGACTTTGTGGGAAAAATATATGGACATCCACAAAAACAACTGTTATTTAGACTGTTTGCTCATGTCACTTAAACATGAATTCCAATGTAATTGAGGCATCAGGAGCATTAGAAGATTTTAGATTCAAACTTTATTCAACAGTCTGCAACTTTTTAGAAGTGATACAACTGGTTAGGAAGCAACAAAACTGCAGTTCTGATGGAGAAGCTACCCATATTGACTGAATGTGATTCTAAAAGTATTTATTTCAGGGCATAGTACTTACTGTTACAAGGGGTTGCACTGAAGATGCTCTTCTATTTCATTATTGAAAACTGTCACATAAATGTAAAATAAACTATCTTTTTCTTGCATGCCTGTCCTAACTTACAGATTCCAATTACTCTACAACATGCAACTCCTGGCACTGTGACATGCCTTTGTCATTAAAACTCCTACCCTCCATGTTACTATGATCTTTCTTTCAGATGTTACTTCATCTCCACTTCAGGAAAAAAAAAAATAATTCTAACTTAAATTTCATTTTAACCCTGCAAGTTTTTTCAAATGTCTGTTCATTAGGAAATTTGCTGCGATAAAAGTAAGTTTCTTCCCACTGTGACTTCCAGCCTGCAGCTATTTCTGCATCTCACGCATTTCAACCTTTGGATGAAGATTTTTTGCAAAAAGTTTTCACTGTCCCTCCTGCCCCGTGAACATCAGGCTTGGCAAAAATATGGCTTTTAGAGCACTTGATTAAATCACAAAGGAGCCTCTTAAACTGTCATTGAAATAACTACTCAAACTTACTAAAAGCATGCCTAAATTTTACCTTAGAGCCCGGACATACCAATTCTTATCCTCAGCAGCTTCATTCAAAGGTGTGTGAACTAACACAGATGGAGAGTAAACAGTAATTTTATTGAATTGAGCATCACTGCATTTGATCCCAACACTAAACCTATCAAAAACATACCTTTAAGTAAGGATAGCCCTGTATTTTTATTTTGTTCTCCTATCTTTCTTTGCAATGGTGTTGATACGTTAGAGGCGTGACTTTTGCTATACTAGTTAGAATTTGTTCAAATTATTTTCCTGTGAAAACTCCTGGTGCCAGAGTTTTTCAGTGAAATATTTTAGATTTAAAAAAGAAATTGGAAAAATATATATGTACTTCCCTATATATAGATACATTTCTCATACAGAGTTGTACTGTTTCAGCTAATATGTGAAAAATAATTAGTATGGAACAGCATATGTCTGTGTCAGCATTTTAACATGTAGAAGTAATCTTCTGAAGCATTATTGAAATAGAAGGAAACTGGTTATAAAAATGGACAGACCATGTAACTGAAAAATATGCAAATAAAAAACTTATGATGTTCAAACAACAGAGCTATGGGAGAAAGAGGTAGTGGGATTAACACTCCCACATGCTTCAAAACTGATTATTTGGATATAGCCACCTTTGGTCACTGAGGATCTATGATTTGCATTAATCCCTAGTTTAAAGAGTACTGTGTTGAAACAATTATATCAGTAAGCTAGAAACTCTATACTGTTCCTAACTGTTATGCAAATTTCTGATACATATTTTTGGGTTACTTTCCAGAAAATGCGGTTTTCCTTTTGAGATGTGACACAGAAACAACACAAGAAGAACAAACAGAAGCAGAAAACCTGCCCAGCTTTATTCGGAGCCAACTTCCCCTCCCTTCTGTACCTGAAGTAGATTCTTCCTCCTTTTCACTTCTCTTTCCTTTTAAAGAAGGCTGAAATTGTTCTGGGATGTGCTTTCTTCTCAGAAAGTCAAAATACAGATGGAAACCAATGTTCCATCATTTATTCCCCCAAAACTCATTTTACTTTTGGCTTGGGTCTTTCAGGCCAATTCTGGACCTAAATATCTCTTCACCGATTTTGTAAAATAAAACAGTATTTGGCTTTTTCTGGATTGTACTAATGTTAGTGAAAGACAGATCAGTATAAAAATACACATTTTATTGTTACTGTTTACACACGTATGCATTCAAAAATTCTCAATATATGTAGACAGGCATTACTTCTATGACCAAACCCCTAAAATGTGGTTGTGCATTAAGGCATGGCTTTAAGTATCCCTTGTACACTTTAACATTAGCCTCTAGTATTTGGGTTTTTTCTTACATTTTTTTCTCCTGAGTTAAAGGATGATGTGGATATCTCAGTTAAAACAAGGAAACAAAGAAGAAAAGCGTGAGAAAATGCTTTTTCTAAGGCCAAGGAAGACCTAAGAGCAGAAGGAGGAGAAGGTACCAAATGGAGCCAAAATTCCCAAGCTGCTGTCATGCTGGCACTGTAGAGACGACAGAAGGTGGGAGAAGCTGGCAAAAGGATGAGAGAACAGTAGGTGAAGGAAATGTGCACCCTGCATAATAATGTGTCTCACGGCAGCTCTACAGTTCAGATGAGGAGTGGAGCATGTGTGGAAGCCTATATTTTGCTCACTGGGAAAGCTCTGAGGTCCAAAAGAAAAGTAACTACAGGAAAATGTATAACTTCAGGCAAATCATTTCTCTAAGTCACTTGGATCAAAGCAACAAACTTCCCCCTCAGCGCAAAACAGGCTGTCTGAAAAACACTCTCAGTGCTTACTCTAGATTACTATAGCATGGCAAGCAGTAAAAGGAAATAAAAGACCCAGTAGACATCTACACAAGCATTCCTTAACAAGCCTCCACATACAAAACAGAGAGTAAATTTTCACTCATTTCGGATAGCTTGGGAAACTCACTCTCTACTTTGTCACTCGTGATTATTATTATTGCGGCCAGCCCACCCTTGAACCCACCCTCTAAGAACAATGAGGTAGGAGATAAAATCTTTCATTTTTGATGTTCTGAACTACTCTGTAACTTGTATACCTTAGTAGTGATACAACAGTTCTTGCCCCAGGGGATATTCAGATGAGTATTTCCACACCTTATGACTAAATCTTACAAAATACCATCAATCAAACTTACAATGAAATTCTGCCTGTTCAAATTAAGGACCATAAGTTAATAACACTGTACATTCTGAGGGTAATATCTGCAAGTCATTATTGTTAACATTTCTGAGATATAAAGCATTTGCCTCAGTAAACTGAGACCGCTGTCTACTACACTTGTTAAATGCTATATGTTAGTGACACACTATCACAAAATCATAACTAAAAAGTCAGTGAAAAATCTCCTGCAGTGTGCAGAGACCAATACAAGCAAACTCAGTTTCTGAAATACCAATAGAAATATTGCATTTCTCTTTTTAAATTATTCTACAAATCCCATTTAAGTGAGTAGTAAGGGCACTATAATAAATTCTTTCTAGCTTGGTAAATCATACCATAATTTGTGCACACACTAAATGCTGACCAAATTCATTAAAAGCAATAATCACAAATTGCTTGGGGTTTCTATTCACTATTAACAGGCTTTAAATAAATGCCTATGAGATTTAGGAACAAAAGTTGTTTTTGAAACTTCCCACCAAGGTTTTAATAAACTTAATGAGAAGGGGAAGCTCTAAAAACCTCTAGAAACCCGAGTATTTTTCACTTGTAAATGCTGAAACACTAAAAACATACACAGTCCTGCTACTGCAAATGCTTTTGAGTCATAACTAACTAGTCCTCTTTATTTCCAATGAACGTAATATTCACACTACATTTATTATTTACCTCTGCAGCCCACATCCCTCATCACAGACATTCAGCCTTCAGATTCACAATTTTCTGCTGTGTTGATGCCAATTCTCCTGCCTTTAACCTGCTGGCAGCTCTGTATCCCCTCTCACACAGGAGGTCAGGACGAAATGAGAGCTGTAACCCAACATCACTCCATAAAACAACCTAACTCCTTCACTGGACCACACAGAGCTTTTCCTTAGGGACTAAAACCCACTGATCCGTGCAAATGTTCAGTGCAGCCCACCTAAATTAATGAGAGAATGGCTATTTCTCTCATTCTACGTACTGCTACTGAGGAATTAAAACATACATATCATGTCAGGGTTGAAAAGAAAAGTCTTTTAGAATTACAGATTTTACTATTCTTAAATCTATATTGATTAAGTTAGGTACATACAAACAACCAAGGAAGAAACAAACACTTATGTCAACTGGTTGTTTTGTCCTCGTGTTTTTAAGTGAAGGCATTGCTATAACACAGGCTTTTCATTTATATGAGGCTCAACTGCCAGCAACCTTCCCCTTCCTTTAGAAGAAACTAATAGAAAATTTAGGCTATTATAAAAGGACTTCTATTTCAAAGAGATGGTTGGTGAGCAGTAAAGCAGAAATGCAGGCCTTGATTCATTGATGTATTCACATTTCCAACAAATACCTATTTGATAAGGCCATTTCCTCACTCGCAGTCAAGACACAGTACAGAAAATTTCCCCTATGAGTCACTGATTTATATTAGTATTAATTATTTTACCTGTAATAAACACGCAATGTCTGGATTTCTTCTTCTAGTTTTTTGCACTGTTGAAGAGCAGCCTCTTTTTCTTGTTGCAAGGCTATTGTGTCTGCCTGAAGAGCAAGAAACAGATTATAAACAATCTATTCAGAATAATTAAAGCACAGCAATCCTTTGTGCATTCATTCCAGTTATGCTTTATTATAATTACATATATAAAGTTATACTGTTTTGTAATACCAACTATTTAATTCTTATGAAAAAAACCTTTCTTGTTCTAGCACGGCAATTTTTTCTGTTTTTTTTTTCCCGGCAGGATGGCGTTTTGAATGGCTTCCCTTGCGTATATGGTAAACTTTTTGAATGGCTAAGGTTAGACCTCTTCAGTTCAGCCAAGTGCTTCTCAGCCAACGTATTCCATATTGATATAATATTCCTATAGTGCAAAACTGTTGACCAGCATATAGAGAGTGAAGCAAGGCACTTGGCCACAAATTAGCGATGGGCAACTCTTGGTCTGCACATGGACCTCCGCCTGTGAAGCGTGGCTCCCATGCTGGGAACCACTGGCTGATGTGACCGGCAGGAGAGCAGCCGGCTAACCCGTGCCCTGAGCGGCAGCAGGCGATGAGCCAGCAGGGGCTGCTGAGACCAGCACCGCCGGCTGGCTCTGCGATCTGGGTGCGTTCTCAGCCAGGATCTGGTTGACAGCAGAGCAAGGGAATCCCTGAGCAACCTCTGTCGTCTCCCACCTGTGAACCCTCCCGGAAGTTTCCCCTCCCGCTGTTTATTCACACCCCGCTGCAGAGGGCTTGTGACTCACAGCTATTATGGAAATTGCAGCATGTGGCTTGTAAGGTCAGGAAGGTAACCAGCCCCGACATGGCCTTACAGTTAAAAAGGAGGTAGGAGAAATAAGTACTCATGTATATTTAATACGGCTCTATAGCTTAATCACCATTAATTTTAAAATGTCCAGTTTCAATAGCACTGCAGGACTCCCTTGAGGGCCCAGGTACCATATAAATTATCTTAAAATCAGCAGATGATTAATTATTGTAACAACAAATAAGACCGGGCTTGCACAGCAATTCTTTGACACATGAGCCTTAGCATTGGGCTGCTTTCCAAGGTTTTTAATTCATGGTGTAAGTTATTAATTGTACAAACTGTAGAGGCCCAAACCAAGAGGCACATGTGCGAGAAACGCTGAGTGCGGATTCTGCCAACTCTTCGGGACAGTGCTGTGGAAAAGTTTCTTGGTAAAGACCTGTTACATGAGCTACGAACACACGAAGGGAAACGCAGAGAGTTCAGGCTCTAGCTCTGCCAGACTCGCTGTATAATCACGAACAAGTGTCTCTGTATGCCTCAAAATCTCTCGCCTAAAACAGGGCTCCCACTTGCTTCTGTTTCCCGTTTGCCTGTTAAGACTGTAAGTCTTCAAGGCAGGTGTTTTACTGTTTACTGTCAACTCCCAGTCATCTATGGGCAATTTATTCTGCTGGTTGATTAATCATGTCCTGGATACATGGCTGACTCCTGGCAAATTTTATTAAACACGGGACTGCACAAATGCAGCTACACAACCAGGCTCTGCACTGTGCTGCTCCGTGTGTCACGTTGTACCCAGGGTTTTGCACTGCTGGGGTACGGGACCTACCGCTGTAAATGCTCCTCTAACAGACCTTCATAAAATTTTAACAGGAAGTTCCCTGGAGAATAAAACCAAACTTTCTTACTATATGGAGGGTTCCTTCAGCTTTAAAACCAGAAAGCGTTAATGTTTAACCTCTGAGTGACAGTGGTTTAGAGCTTCTGACGCTGAAAACAATGTACTGGATGCTGGCAAGCCCTAACTCCTGTTAGCAAGAGGTTAAAATCCTCTGCAGGTGAGGCTCTTGCCCAGTGCTGCTTGCTGCCTTGCAAGCAGAACTCACAGAACACAAGGGTGTTAGCCAAACCAAGCTATTTTCTGTAATTATACTGTTCTGTAGGTAAAACAACATTCTTAAAAATTGGAAAACACGCTTGAATCAAAGTAGGTGGTTTGTTCCAGAGGCCAATAATTAACATCCTTGCCAATTTTCAGTGTACTGTGAAGTGTGATTGAAATGGTAGACTGGAAGGAAATGTTTACAGCTGACACACCTACTCACGGAGAGATTAACGGCTAGTCTCTTTGGAGAACTATCATAAAAAATACACCTTGTGTTCCACTTGCTTTTCAGGACAAAAGTCAGAAGGCACTAGAGTTTGAAGACTCTTATTTATGTCAGTTTTTCAGCAGAGAAAACTGCACTTATTTGATTGGGTTTGCACCAGTAAAAATAACAACAGAATAAGGTGCTTTGGATTTAAAAAAAAACAGCTAGAAAAGCTGAAGCTAACCTCCTCAGTAGTGTGGAGTGGGGTTGATACTAGGAAGCCGCATGAGACCAACAAAAATTCAGGCACAGGCGTTTTTGTGCACAGCATGCATGACCACGTGACAAAATGACCCATCATTCACAGGCCTGAAGAGTGGTAAACACAAATAAATGACTTAAATATCGTCTCAAAAGAGAGATGCCTTCCTTCACTAGAAGAAGGAAAGCAAAACAGTGCCCATCACAAAGTTAAATTGCTAGCTAAAATAATGGTGCCGGCACTACCATAAAACATTTGGAAGACTGCTATAATGTATATTGAAAGCCATCCATAGAGCACATGGCAAAAATCCTGCATGAGCTCACCTCTAGTAAAAACAATAGCTGCTCAGTAAGTTTTTAACAAAATATTATTCCTTTGGAAAATGTCAAGCCGTGGAAATCAGAACTCTGCACAGAAATGGATCAGTTTTGATTAATTTTTTTTGGAAGGTAGGGTAAAGAAGGAGCAACAAGAAGAAAAAGAATTACACTCAGGCTCCTCTGGTGGAGGTTTTCCCTAAAAGGGTCAGTTTGGAGGTGGGTTCAGTCACCACTTTGGTAAAGGGGTCATGCTCAGTGAAGTTCCTGTTTAACCCTGAAAGGGTATTCTGATCAGTGGGATATGCTCTCTTTTTCACAATTTTGTTTTGCCCACAAGTTCCTATGCTTTTATATTTGGTTTACCGTGGATAGATCCTTCCACCTACTCTGTCTCCCACCCCACTTTCTTGCAAAAGAGAATTCTTGTTTCTACACTTCTCCTATTTTGCATTTTAGCAAACAGTTACCTGATAAAAATTTAAATTTTCCAGTTAAATCTAAAAGCTAAATGCTACCCATCAAACTTAAAATAGCTAGATCTTGACCAAGAAAATCTTATTAGTGATCCTTTCACTGTTGCTTTTGTTTCAAAATATTTAAATAAACAATACTGTATGTGTTTTCTTAACCCAAAGGCTGGAAAAATACAAGACTTAAGCAAAGCAAAACAGAGGGTAAAACTAGTTTTCATCTTTTCCTAATTCCTGTAGGGCAAACACGAGCACCCTCGACTCTAATCTAAATTGACAGAGGTAAGAACGCACAGCATCCTATGCTGTCAGGGTCTCTGTGGGTGAGAAATGGCTTTTATAATGCTTTTCAACATCCAACAGAAGGAAAAAAAAACATTCAATGAACTTGAGTAATAAAGCTTCATGGCTTTATCTTTTTACTGATTTTTTTTTCCTCACGCATTTATAGAGAATGCATATATATATATATATCCACCCACATATATATTTATAGAGAACATGTACTTTTCCTTCCTTACATAGGCTAAACAAACACAACTTTTCCTGTTACCTCTCAGTAAGCAGGCTCTCCATTCTCCTGTTCAATCCAAACCCATCTCTCATCAGGACTCTGTTAGCAGTACGTCCTAACTCCAGTGGAAACACCTTGCTTGATGCATTCTTGCATCCCTTTTGCTCACAGTCACCCTCTGATATCTGTCTGTTCTCCTGCCCACTGGTATTACCCAGCTAACAGTGGAAATTCTTATTTGTCCAGAAATGATGATACTTTGCACTTGGCACCCCTGAATTCCACCCCACTGCTTTTATTTTTCCAGTACTTGAGACCATTCCAATCTTTCTGCAAGATAGCTTGAACTTACTTTGTATTAATAATATCTCCACTTTGTATTAATAACATCTCCCAGCTCTGCGTCATTCAGCATATTTGTTGGTACGCTGTTGCTCTTCATGCCAAAGGTTCTCAATGACAGCATTAAAGAAAACTAGTTCAGCACCAATTTGTGAGAAATTGGAGAGAAATTCCACTAGTGAAACCTTAACGTTTCTTCTTTCAAAGCTGTTTGCTGTTGCCTTGCTTCTAACTAGTTCCTTATTGCCTTTGACTAATCCCTCATCTCCTTCATGGGTACATGACATTTTGCAGACAGACATGAGCTCAACATGCCCATCCTTCCAAACAAGAGATGCTAGGTGAGCCCAGTTAACAGCAAGCAGCGTTTTTCACATTAAGCTTGTGCCTGCTTGTAAAATAACAATATACACATTCTCCACTGTAATTAATATTTTTTCCATATGACACCACATATAAGCTTATGTGTCAGCTTATATTTAACAAGCTTCCTTGTCTAAATAACCAGTTATCATACCAAAGAAGAATTCTTGCACGATCTTACTTGGGTGAAAGTTGTACTTCAATCCATTGTTGATGGAGCCATGCTTTAAAAACATTTTTCTTCCAAATTTACTCTGAAGCCTCACAATAAAGACTAGATGGTCTACAACCATCAGAATTACGCTTTCTGTCCTTCTAAATATAGATGCCACCTCTGCTAATTCCCTGTTATATTACACTGTACACAGCCTCATAAGATTTATTAGAGAACTTTACTATCATTCCTGCAATCTCAGGTACCAGCTCTTTCAGAACTGGGAATGGAAACCATCCAGTCTGAGCACGATAATCTATTGAACAGCTGTGAGGTACTCCAGTTCCAAACATTCACTTTTCTTCACCACTGTCCTCACATTTGACATCGCCATTGCCCAATGCTGAGAGAAAAAAAATAAAATCACACTTTCGGACCTAATCCGGATTATTCTTGATCTCCATGCCATTCTCCGAGTGGTGGCACATTTCCTCTTTCCTTGTTCTCATTTCAGTCATTACACTATTGTTTATTTTAA